TTTAAGCAAAGTCTTGTAACATAGTTCAGGCTCACCTTGAACTCATGACATAGCTCAGCCTGGTTTCAAACTTGTAGCAGTCTTCCTGCCTCAGCTTCCCCAGTACCCAAAAATGTATTTATTAGCTCTTATGCTTAAAGAAGGTGTTGAAATAATGCTAAAAATAATCCAAGCGTATGGTATCTAAATACTCAGGTAAAAATACATTTGAAAACATCTGGAACAATGAAGTCTGACCTAGCTTTGAAGAGCAAATGTAACATCTGAAGCGTGTGAAGTCCAAGCTGCGAGGGTGGGTATAGCTCCAGAACATCAGGAATGCACAAGGGAAAGGGGAAGAACGGCACTTGGTGATGCTTGTGAATGTACCCAGGCGCATGTAATGTCGCCCGCATGGCAGGATTTCCTAAGGCCTGTGATGAGCAGCGACAGCGTGCATGAAATACAGATTGGCACATAGGCCGAGCAGGCCAAAGCTTTGCTTGGAACACGATTTAAGTGCAGACTGTCTGATCATATCACGGGCCCCAGAGAACCATCTTCCCTTTCTTCTTAATTCCCGGAGTAGTAAAAGATTGCAAATGCATCATCAATGTCAGAATAGTCTTCGTATATGCTTTTCAGTGTTGCGTTATAGCTGCTAGAACAATTTTCTCTGCCCCAAGAACAGCTGCACTTTTAATCTTTATTTTCAAATGAAAAGCATTTGCCTATGGGAAGCTTAAATTTTTTTGTCGATTACTCAAAAACCCTATTGGCAGTCACCACTTGGCATCCTGAGTAAATTATTTTTAGTACTATCATAAATATTCCTCACTTTACACTTCTTTTAACATTTACACTCTTTTAAGAAAACAAAGAATTAAAATCAGTAACTTCCATGTACTCATATTTTGCTTGCTTGCTTGTTTTTTCTTTCTTTCTTTCTTTCTTTCTTTCTTTCTTTCTTTCTTTCTTTCTTTCTTTCTTTCTTTCTCCTTTCTTTCTTTCTTTCTTTCTTTCTTTCTTTCTTTCTTTCTTTCTTTCTTTCTTTCTTTCTTCTTTCTTCTTTCTTTCAATCTTGCATGGAATGGCCCCTGGTTCAGGTTTGATTAAAGTTGAGTTTATTAGCAGCATTGAACTTAACACCCTATTTGAGCTGTCCGAGCAACCCCCGGACTACTGCTCCTGCCCTCTGTCTCACCCTTTCACCCACCCTGAACCCACATTTTCAAGCTACATTAAAGTGAATCTTTTTTAAAGCTAAGGACAAGCCACTTAGTGCCCACAATGTTTAAAACTACTAAATGAATTAAAGAAACCTTCCAGAAGCCAGCCAGTTGTTATTTCTTGGGTTTCACTTCCAACACTTTGGTTTCCCAGACAAGGATGACTCAGCGGCTCTCCTCCTCAGTGTGGGCTATCCACAGGTTCAGGTCTCTCTCGGAATTACTTTGAGGGGAAAAATCAAAATGATTGAATTATATTGATACCTTCATTAAAAGTAAGTAGTCAGTCTTCGGAAAAGTTTGAAAATACATTAAAACATGATGCTACTTGGGGGCTCTCTAACTGGTAAATTATGTTTGATCTAGTACAAACATAAATTAGGTCTTGATATTTGAGGGCAACCCCTTCCTTCAGCGCTTTCGATGTTGATCCCATGAATTGTAGTTCCTACTCTTAATTAGGCGAGGTGCATGGAGGTTGGAGTGCGGAGACATGACAGGAGTTACCATATCCCGTGGGTCAGCCTTGTCATGGTTCACATGCTCACATTCATCAAGGATGTAAGGGGCAGATGGGAAGGACTTCCTCACAGGGACACTGTAAGGATTAGATTAAGTTCCTGGAAGATACTAGTCATTGCTTTTAATATTATGGTTATTTTTTTTCTTTGGTCCAAAAATCCTTATTTAAATTCTATGAAGTTATCTGGGTGCAAATTCTCACCAGACCAAGCAATTATCGTGTAACAATTAAATGAAGACAATGGAATACTTGCAGATTTTAAAGTCCTACCATCTGTTTCATTGTCTTTCCAAGCCAGATAAAATTATATTCTCCAAGATAATGAATTTTCCCCATAAACAAGGAATTAGGTGGCTCTATGTCATCAGCACTTTGAAACTATGCCCAACATATAAATTTTTATGATAGTTAAAAGAAGGGAACCAGTACTGTCCTGAGTGTGTTGTCACTTAGGGCCAGTCTTATGTTTAGAGCAAAATTCACTGGGATAAATACCATCTCAGTGGACATTTACAACAGTGCGGAACTTCACTGTCTCATTTGAGAGAGGGGTTCTGAGCTTAAGAAAGTTCTGAGGGAGCAAAGGCTTGTAAGGTCAGGGTCTCTCAAAAGAAGATACAGGCCACATGAGGAAGTTGTTAATCTTTGTGGATTCACCCCAGTCCCACAACTGGGGCTCAGCCATAGAAGCTCAAGGAAGGTCTCCTTTTAGTCGCATAAGAAAGGGTTCCTTTCTCAATGGGGACTTGCTGGCTATTATGAAGGGAACTGATACACGTGCTGTGATGCCAGCTTTAATATGTTTATTTGGTGAACTGTGATTGCTGTGTGAATTATAACAGTCATGTTGAAATGACCGGCCCTCTCTAGGAAAAAGATACAGGAAGCCAAATTGTAATCAGAAAGCTGTTGCTTGCTAATCCTACGCAATTAAGAGTAGGATGTGATTCAAGTGTTGAGTGTCATCAGCCTGTAGCCCTCTGCCTCCAGCTGGGCTCTGAGAGGTCTGCCAAGTGGACGCTGTGATGCTACCACTGACAGTCCCGCTGTCATCACCCGGCAACTCCCTTTGGTTTGCACCTTCTTCACTTGGCTTCTCAGCCTCTCAGCCAAGGCTTCCGTCCTAGAGCCATCAGTGTCCTCCATAACTATGTTCCAAACCATTATTTTTTGTTCATAGCTGGATGGTAGTTGGCTTTACTGAGACATCATACTTGACACCTACTTGACATACTGGCAGGAGGAGAGGTTTAATTTGTCTTGTGGTTTTAGGAGATTCAGTTCATAGTCAGCCGGCTCCAAAACAGAAGCGTCATGATGGAAGGGTACAGAGGAGGAAAGCTGCTTGTGTCTCAATGGCCAGGAAACAGAACAAGGGAACAGGTCATAGAACAAGTGACTGGGACCAGACACAGTCCCCAAGGTGACCGCTATGACCCCGCCAGACACCAAAAGGGGGTTTTACTAATCTCCTGGGCACTCTTCAATCCAGTCAAGTTGAAATCAGGATTAATGGTTGCAATTTACAACAGGACTAATATTTTTTGAACTGCATCAACTTTTTTTTCTATTGCTGAGCTATGGATAAAACTTTATGCCTGTGCTACAAAAGGCAATGAGCTGTTGTGGGTAGTGTTAGGACTGTGACAGGAGGGAGGCAAAGAAAGTATTCTGCCTGTTGTAAACAAATATGGTTCATAAAGAAGGCTGATCCTTGGAAATAAGAGAAACTCTATTTTATTTCTGGGTAACAGAGGAGGACAAAAGAGATAAGGTAGAGGAAGCAAGTGCTTGTCCCCTTCTTCCTACTGACCTTTTCTTCAAAGCTGTAATTTAGGAGAGGCCAATGGGACAGACTAAAAGAAAAACTAAGCAGAAGATATCTTCGGACTGTGGGAGGACATGCCACGTAAAATGGCCCTTTGCTATCGCAGGACAGAGTACAGGCTACCCAGCCCGGCACAGAGGCCTACAGTGCAGGGATGAAGTGACCCTACTCCCACATCCTTGGGCAAGCAGGGATGGGTGGCACTTGGGAAGCACCTCATCATCATAAAGTGTGCACCAGGCCAAATCATGGGCTTCACCATGGTGACAGGACAGAGCAGACTCACTGATGAGCTTGGAAAGCTGGTGGACAGCCTGAAAAGATCTCACCTCATCAAGATATCCACCTGTCACCGGCATGTCCTAGAGAAATCAGCACCGGAGAGGGAGAACTCAAAGCCTTAGTTTGTCCTCAGAAGACACTGTGACGCTGTGTTTAAGGGGAAGACATGGAGGTGACTTTCATTAGCACTTTTAAATGGTCATTTTAAGTGGTCACTTTTTCCTATTCTCTAGTCAGGGTGATGCTCATAAGAAACACTAGATCAATCATTAAAAGTCAGTCACTAAAGAAATTACCCTTGTTTTTGAACATCTAAGTGTTTCCCTGCTTTATAAATTTTAAGCCTTGGAGGACACTC